CCGGAGGCGGGGGAGGGGGCGGGTGCCCCAGCGGGGGCGGGAGGGGAGACCGGGAAGGGCCCGGAGGGCTGCCCAGACATTGGCGCCCTTCCCGGCAGGGGTGCCTGTGGCTTTCCGAATGGGGGTAGTGGTGGCCGGACGCCGGGTGGGGGGAGGTGAAGGAGATGAGGGGATTGCGGGAGGTGAGGGTCTCCAGGACACCGGGTGTTTCGGAGAGGAGGGCGAGGTGGGTGTGGCTTGGAGTTAAGGCGGAGGGCGGGCGGGGAAGTAACGCCGGTCATTTTTCATAGTGAAGGAAGTATTGACTTAAGAGTTTTTAAAGAAAAAGTGAGTAGTTACAGTATTGAGAATGTCTAGATTCCTGTGTTTTATCTTTATATTAAATCTTGCAAATAAAAATTGGAACATAACCAAGCATTAATTGAGCAGATTCTGCCCAGAAGCTTATTATCCAGTTACTTCAGATAACTTTAACTAATTAAAGCATAGTCATAAACCAAGAAGTCAGCAGTTGAGACTTCTGATTCATTGGAGCAGTTTTCATCAGTTGAGAAACTAAAATCCATGTATTTTTCTACTATGGAAAAAGACCTGAGGCCTTCATTCAGAATTTATTCGCTTAATTTTGCATGTGATTATAGACCTTAATTATCTGATTTATCAGATTAGAAGCTGTTTAGAAGCTGTCATTTTAGAAATTGAGGGCAACTAAAGTCAGGCACAATAACATTGAAAAACTCACCATTCTTTTCCAAAACCCCCTAAGAGCTGGAAAATTCCCCCCCTCCACCGAGCGCGGAGCCAACCCGAAGGCAGCCCCCTTGTGACGTCATGGATTGCCAGGCAGACTGCTGCGCGGCTCCTGCAGGCCCAGCAGGTTGGTGGAGCGCCTGGAGAGCCGGGAGCCTCGCTCGCTACCCGCGGGCTGTATCCAGCGAGAGGGAGACAGAGATCCGGAGGAGGGCAGAAATTCAGAAACGACGGACAAGACCCAGACGGAAAGGGAATCAGGAAGAGGGTGGGGAAGAACTCCAATCGTCAAGAAGAGACGGAGACAAAAACTGAATCCAACCACCAGTGCCTGCATCTCAAGCCCTGCCCGCGGCCTTCAAGGCTCGGCCTGGTTTGGCTCTAACTGCCTCTTGCATCTCCTCTCTTATCTCCCCCCTCGCCGTCCCAGTGTCTCTGAAGGCCAGCAGGCCCGGATGGATGGGTAGCATTGCGGTCCCTGACAAAGGGTCCTAGAAGGTCTGTCTACCTTGATTTATTTTATTCCAAACTTGGGGTGATGATAGTTTTCGTAAAAGGCACCTCATTTGCAAGAAGAGGCCCTCCCAAAAGACATTTTGTCCCTGGCACCGCCCCAGGGAGGGGGGTGTGCTGTCCTCTTGAGGGCAGGTCCCAGCCTGGGCTCTGCTACCAGCCGCTGTATGCCCCCCTCAAGGACCTCTTCCCTCTCTGGATCCTTGATGCTCCTTCCTCGTCTTCCTTCTGGCTACCAGTGGGTGGATGGGTGGATTTCAGGAGATGTATCAAAGGCTTGACAGGGCTGCAAGGGCCTTCCGAGATCTTCCTCCTCCTCTCCCCTTCCACAGAAGGGCCAAACTGGCCCAGAAGCAGCAAGTCTTTCACCCTAGACCCCCCAGCCACCCAGGCTCAAGGACTTGGGACTCTGGCTTCTCAGCGCACAGCCTCTGACACGCCCCGAGGGTTTCAATCAGAGCTCCCACAGTTCATCCGGGCTCCTTCTGCTCAGGCTGGATTCACACGAGAATGGTTGGGGCGAACGGACAACTGAGAAAAGCCACAGGGGTATGACAGCCAGGGGCGATGGGGACTTGAGCAGATTGGAAAACAGATTCCCCATTAGAAGCGGCCACCACCCTGCTCCAGCCTCTCCACACCGAAAAGCTGGCACACTGTTGCTGGATTGTGCAAAGTCTCTGGTTAGAACTGACATGGGGAGGGCTGCCACGGTCACCCAGAAATCAGTTGAGTGGCCAGAATTGATCCCCAGCATGGCCCCAGGGAGGGCATTACAGAAGGTGGAGGGTCCCCAGGAGAACTCGGAGCTGTTGGTGGGGTCCCCCAAAGGGTATACCAGATGAGGATCCCAGAGGGGCCTCAGATGTGACTGGAGGATTCCAGACAAACAAAGGCATCGCAGAGGTGGCCCGGATACAACAAGGTTCACTGAGGTCCGCCCTCCAGACCAGACAAGGGTTTTTCAGACATGACAAAAGGATCCCAGAGGCACCGTAGATGTGATCGGAGGAGAATTCCAGACATAAACAAGTGATAGCAGGGTGGTTCCAGAGAATTAGGGGATCTCAAAGATGACAAAGGGATTTGGGGGGGGACAGACAGAATGAGAGTCACAGATGGGCACAGAGACATGTATGCAAAGGGTTCCCAGAGGGACCCAGACGTAACTAGGAGATCTCAGATGGGACAGGAGGGACTCAAACATGAGAAGGGGATCCCAGAAAGACCCTGGACAGGGCTTAGGGTTGCTGGCAGAGTCCCCCTCTTGGTGTGATGATCTGTAGGCTCACCCTCCCCTAGATGAGACTGAGAGATCGCGGACACACAAGGGATCTCAGACATCACAAGGGGATCCCAGAGAAGCTCTTGGGATTCTGGAAGCACTGCCCTGCCCCGCCCCTCCACACAGACACATAAGTATAGTCGTCTCTGAGTCCTTCAACCCAAGGCGTGAAGATCTTGGGGCCCCTGGACATGACAAGGGAATCCCAAAGAGGCCCCAGACATGACTGGGGGGAATCCCAGAGGGACCCTGGGCAGGGCTTAGGGATTGTGGCAGCGCCCCGCCCCCGCAGCCAGGACGGGGGATCCTTGGGTCCTATGACTTAGGGTGTGGGGACGCCCACGTGACACAGGCGTGGAGCCCCTGAGAGCCCCCGAGAGGCCGCCCCGGGCTCAGGCCCGGCGGGCGGCGGGCAGCAGCGCACTATCAAACTGGTAGGTGAGCTTGCGCTTGACCTTGCGGATCTCGCCGGTCTTGGCGTAGTTGCGCAGGGCGCGCGCCAGCTTCTGGTAGGTCATGCGTTTGCGGTTGCCTTTCTGCTGGCCCCAGCGGCGCGCCAGGAGCTCCTTGTGCTTCGAAGAGAATTGGAAGACCCCGGCGCCCGGCTCCACCCACCACACGCACTCGCGCATGTCTCCGCGCGTCAGCAGCCCCAGCAGGAACTGGTACAGGCGCAGCTTCTTGCGGGCCCCTGCGGCGGGTGCGGGACGCGTTAGCTGAAGCATCCTTCGGGCCCCGCCCCAACCCCTCCCCGGAACCGCCAAGCCTCTGTCTCCCCATCAAGAGAATTGGGGTGACGAAGGTGGCTGCTAGGTACACCTGCCTGGCTCTGTCTGTGCCACACCCCCATCCGGGGCAAGTTGCTCCCCTTTCCTGAATGTGTCACCCCAGAACCCCCATCTCCCATCCCTGCTTTATTTCTCAGGATGTGTGTCTGTCCTGTGACTGCTTGGTGGCCAGCACATGTCTGTTGAGCGCATGGATGAATCTGTGAAATGGGTTGGCAATGCTCCTCAAAGACTTATGACAGAGCTGACTTGTGGTGAAGAGATCTGAAGTGGGTTTGAATGTGGCCATTTCTCCAGCTCCAGGTCTCTCAGTGTGTCAGTTCTGCGGGGACTGGGATCCTGGGAGAGGCCAAGGGGTCTGACTCCCGGGCTCCTTTAAGCAGCAAGGGCCCCACAGAGTTGGGGGGTTCATAGCAGGCATTGGATACAAGAACCCCACCTCTGCCATTTTCCAGCTGTGTGACGTTGGGGTGGTGACTTAACCCCTCTGAGCTGGTGTTTCCTCAGCTATAAATGAGGCTTGTGTGTGTGTTTTTACAAATCTTTCTGAAGCGCTTAGTACCAGGTGCTGCTCTAGGCACTGAACAATTATGAGCTCATTTAATCTTCATCATAACCCCATGAGATAGGGATGATAATAACAATGCCCATTTTACAGATGGGAAACTGAGGCCCAGACAGGGAAAGTAACTAATAATTCCAACTTCCAGGGGTTGTGAGTAATGGAGGTCGGGCACAGGGGCAGAAGCAGGGGTTGAATAATAGATGGGAGTTGATATTGTGATGATTTCTTTTGCTATTGTGTCCATAATGATGGTGAAGATTTATTGAGTGCCAAACTCTGTGCCAAACACTGCTATCTCATTGACACGTATGATCCCCCCTAATTCTCCCAACCACCAGCAATAGACACTATTACTGTCGTCCCCACTGTACAGATAGGAGACCAAGGCACAGAGCAGTAGAGACAGCAACACAGCCAGCAGATGGCAGACCTGGGAACTGCCCTCAGCGCTGGAGTATATATAGTAGTTGCTTGGGAAGACACGGTTCCTTTAACCTCCCACCCCCCATCTCCAGTTGGAGTCCCTCCCACCCCACTTGCGCCCACATACCTGCCTCAGATCCCCTCCCCTCGGGGCCAGCCATGAGGGCCTCATCCGACTCGCTGTCCGAGACCTCCAGGGCCGGACTGTCCAGCAGGAGGTCCTCTTCCTCTGACAGCACGGGGCTGGGGTATGGGGCGTACGCCAGGGGACACAGGGTCTGTGGAAGGTCAGGGTTACCTGTAGTCCCAGGGGGAGGCCCCCCTTCTCTCACTCCCTCTGCTTTCGTCCCTTGGCGTCTTCCTGGGCCCTGGCCGTGGCCCTCCCCACTCTGCTCACAGCCTGCACTCTGGCCTCGGTTCAGATCTCCATGGCGTGGCCAGGGATGCCCGGGCCACCTCCACGAGAGCCTGCTCCACACAGATAATGGCCTTTGGTGCTGCTCCTAACCCACATTTGTGCCTCTGTTGGCTCGATGGTGCCATGGAGTAATAATGCTGCTTAACCTTAGAAGGTCGTCAGAGGGATGAAGGGGGTTCCTGTGTGCACAGGTTTTGATGTAGTGCCTGGCACCTAGGAAACCTCAATCAAATGATGGGGATTTTCATGGTCACCCTGCCCCTCACCTGGCTTGTGAAGTCCTCCATGGGGTATGCTGGGAAGCCAGGCCCCGGGGCCTCCAGGCTGGGGGCCGGGTCCAGGTTCCCCACAGGGCTGTAGGTTGAGGGTCCGTAACAGAGCTGGACACCCTGGGTGTGGCTGAAGGTGGCCACAGCCGGGTCAAAGGTTTCATAGGAGGCGGCTGGGACAGCTGGACTGAGGCCGTAGCTCCATAGATCTAGGGGGAAGGGCGCTGAATCAGAAGCTGAGAGGTCTGGCCTCGGCCCCCTCCACCTTGAAGCCCCTGCACTGGCACAGAGGGACCATTGTGGGCTGTGCAAATCTCTGACCCCAGGATTTGCATGGGCAAGAGGGTGAGTAGGAGAGGAAAGGGGAGGAGGTCTGGAGGCCTGGGCTAACCTTGTCCTGCTGTGCCAGGTGACAGCCTCCCCTGGGCCTCAGCTCTCCCATCTGTAAAATGGGCCCAAGGGGCAGGTGGGGAGGGTGTTGAGCCAGGTCACTCACCAGGAGCCCCGTCTGAGTCGGGGTAGCTAGAGTGCTTGCAGCTGTCCAGGTCATAGAAGACTCCATCTGGGTACTGATAGGGGTTGAGAAAGAAAAGGGGTCAACCCAGGCTGCAGGGAGACCCCACCCCACCCTGGACCAGCGGGGAGACTATGACAGGCTGGGAGAGGGAGAGAAAGAGAGACACAGAGACTAGGCACCAGAGACAAGGGCAAAGAGAGGGACATCCAGAGATACAGAATTGGGAGATAGATACAACACAGCAGAAACACACAAAGGCCCAGACCCAGACGTGCACACACACACACACACACACACACACACACACAGAATGAGAGACACAGGTAGGGACACATAGAAAGAGATCAGGGTCTCGCAAAGGGACACAGCAGCCAGCTCCTACTAAGACTGTGCGCTTCCGGGAATCCCAGCACCTCACCGATACACAGTTGTGACATTGTAGCAGCTGGGGAAGGTGTAGATGAATTCCCCCAGTCTTGCCTGCCTGGGGGAGGGGGAGGGGCCTGAAGAGTGAGAGGCGCAGAAGTGTTTTTAACAGAGGCAAAGAAGCTCTCCATGCTTTTTTTATCCACCTCCATATCACTCCGATTCATTCCAAGAGTCATGTTGCTTTAGCAATTAAAGTCTAAAACTAGATATATGCCATCCTGATAAACCAGTGATCTCACTGCAAGGTATTTACCCATGAGCACTGAAAACGTATGTCCACGAAACAGCCTTATTCAAGAGTAATCAGCGCAGCTTTAGTAACAGCCCCCAAACGGGAAACAGCCCAAGTGCCCAGAGACAGGAGAATGGACACACAAACTGTGGTGCGTTCCTAGGATGGAATACTATACAGCAAGAAAAAGGACCAACATCTGACACACACTCGATGTCGCGTGAGGAAACCAGACCCAAAAGGGGTCACCCTGTGTGATTCACTTTATATAAAGCTCAAAACCAAGCAAAACTAATCCGTGGTGGAAAATATCAGAGGGGTATATTGATTGGGAAGGGACGTGAGGGAATCTTCCGGAGTGATGGTAATGTTCTATATCGCGGTCTGGCTCGTGGTTACACAGGTGTGTGCCTAAGTTAAAACCTCATTGAGCTGTACACAAGATTTGTCTCTTTTTTGACTTTAAGGCAAACCTCGATTTTTCTTCTTTTAAAGCAAAACTCTTCAAGTTGGAGGAGGGGGGGATGTGCTGGTGAAGGGGCACCCACAGCGGGGTTGCTTTCCAGCACGTGAGTGGGGTTTTATTTCTTGGACTGAGCTGTGGGTTTATGGGGGTGGGGTATAGTACTCTGTGTGTCTGAAATAGTCCAGACTCAATTTTTGAAAATACGAAGTAAAGCAGAGAAGAGAAGAAGGAATAAGTAGATTTACTAAATGTGGGATGGACGGAGGAAGGGACGCAAAGTCAAAGGCACAGAGACCCACCCCTCCCGGTTCGAGGAAGTGGACCAGTCTGAGAGAAGAGATGTTAGAAAAACTTCTGTGATGGAATGGGTAGGAAGGGGGTCCTTGGAGATACCGAGGAAAAGTCAGAAAGACCAAGGGACAGGAAGGAGTGGAGGGGGAAACTGAGGCAGGGAGGTCACGATGGGCCACGTGGGTCTCCCCACCCCTCCCTGACCCCCAGGGCCCCAACTCACCAGACAGCTGAAGTGTGGCCCGTCAAGCCTGGAGGGGGAGAGACACAGGGGCATGTCAGGGGAGTCTTCAGCCTCCTGAGTCTCGAAGTGGTTGGGCAGATGGGGGATAGGCGGCTGCAGCTGTGACCACCACAGCTCATTCACTGCTGCGTGTCTCTGTGTGAGACCAGCCCCACCACACTCACCCACACCAGGACAGGAAGTGGGGGGCGGGGGCCAGGCAAATGTTTCCCCCTCCCCCGGGATTTGCATAGACAGAGGCTGGGCGGGGGGCAGGGAAAGTGAGGGAGAGAAAGTCCCCGGAGAGATGTGGGCGCCCGAGGGCGGGTGGGGGCGGGGAGGGGGCCTTCGGGAGCGAGTCGGTTAAATGGGTCCATCTTGGACCGGGGGAGATAGATGGAGAGATGGACGTTGGGGTAGAGATGGGAAAACACAGAAGAGGCTCAGCAGAGGGGAGGGGAGAGGAGAGGAGGGAAGGGAGAAAGGTGTGGAGAGACGATTCACATGGCCTGGGATGTAGGAAGTATTTATTAAGCCCCACAGGTAGATGGGGTGGGGGACAGACAAGGAGACAGGAGAGATGAAACAAACTGGAGAGACAGAGAAAGACACAGAGAGAGGGAGCAAGAGGCAGAGAACAGAGACCCAAAACAGAAAAGATGTGCTAAGAAGCACAGTGAGCAGACCCAGTGAGTGAGTCGGGGATGCAGTGAGACTCCGAAGGAGACGGGGACAGAGACAGAGATGGAGGGCCACTTGGGAGAGGACAGCAGGGCAGAGAAGCAAGCATCCCAAGGAAAAGAGATCTTTGGGGTCCAGGGGAAACACGGATGGGACGGAGGAAGAAATCGAGGTGGCAGAGGAAAGAGATCCAGGAGGGGCGAGAGACAGTGTGGACCTCCCTCCCCTCCCACCCACCTGCCCCCTGGGTGGGGCAGAGACCACCACCCCTGGGGCAGGCCCGGCAGAGGGGTCAAAGGTGAGGTGCAGGGCAGGGGTCCTGAGTACCACTTTCGGGTGGCCCCCACTTACTGTGCAGCCTCTAGGGTGAGCATGGTGGTGCTGGGCTGGGCTTGCTGCCGCCTGCAGACACCACCCCTATTTATACCTTGGCCCAGCCCCCTGGGGGGGGCAGGGGTGCCTGCGGCTGTGAGCTCAGCCCGCCTCAAAAATCCCCTCAGGGAGGGAGTCAGGGGAGGGGGCTGGATTGCACAACCCCTTGGTCACGTGGGAGGGAGGGTGGACCCAGGGTCTGTCTGGATTTGGGGATCCCCAGGGTTGGGATGGGGGATTGACCCTAAAGAGTGGAGATGGGAGAGGAGCCAGATTTGGGGGGACCCTGAAAAAGTAAAGGAGGGGTCAAGGGGTCCTGTGGGCAGTGGGGGCGTGGGGAGGCTCCGGACTCAGGAACCAGAGGGGAGTGGGTTGCTGGGCGCTGGGGGCACTCCGAGACCGCCAGCGGACGAGAGCTCTGGGGGTGTCAGAGGTGGGGGGGCCCCGGGCTCTCAGAGTAGATGTGGGTTGGGCTGGGGTCCCTGAGAAAAACCCAGGCCCGAAGCCGGTGGAGACCCCGAGGTGGAAACATTGTGGGTGACATGGGAGGGGGGTCCCCCTGGTCGTTCCGGGGAGCGGGAGCCTCCAAGCCAGGGGCTGCCCCAGGCCTGGAGGAAACAGGTCAGCACCTGGAGGGCGGGGCAGCCAGGCCAGAGGAGCTTGTGCACATAGATGCTCTGCTCACTGGGCCTTGAGGGAGGGCTTGCGGGGGTGGGGGTGAGAGCCGGCCCAGGGATCTTGCAGGGAGGGCGAAGGAGTCCGGTGAGGGCCTCGTGGGGGTCAGCGGATCCCACTGAGTGGAGCTAACCCATCTGGGCCAGAGCTTATGACAGTGGACCACGACCCCCCAGGGACCACGAAGCACCGGGTAATAAAAGGCCTGAACTTTATTAATTGTCCACCCGTCCCAGCCCACAGGCCCCTGTGGGGAGCTGGCCGAGGTCAGAGGTCACCAGGCCTCGGGGCCGGGGGGCCCGAAGCGCCTCAGAAGCTGCTCCTGGTCCTGCAGGTCCTTCCGCACCTTCTTGCGCATGTAGAAGATGGGGCAGTCGCGGCTGCGGGCGAGGATGGGCGTCGGGGCCACGGCCACTGCCCGGGCACACCAGGGTCCCGCTGCCCAGCCCAGTGCTAGGGCAGGGGCCGCTCCCAGGACTTTGGCCCCTGTATGCTGCCCACCCCCCCTCCCACGATGGGCTGTTTGCTCAGCGGGCACGGGGGGGAGACGATAACAGCGGCTGCTCGCTCAGGCGCTGGGCCACCAGCCGTATATCACCTGGCACCTGGCGTGGGAACCCGCCCCGCCCACCTGTTCCCTGGGGAAAGGCTGGCCCCGCCTTGGCGGAGGGGGCCAGGACCCTGTGTGTGTGTGTGTGTGTGTGTGTGTGTGTGTGTGTGTGTGTGTGTGTGTGTGTGTGTGTGTGTGTGTGTGTCTACATTTCCTGGGCAGATACTGGGTGCCCAGCACCCCCCACTCAGCAGCCCCCAACCCCACCCCAAGAAGGCTGGGATGGGCACTGGCCCGTTTTGCAGGCCAGGACGCCGAGGGTCGGCGACGCGGGGGGCGCCGAAGCCTGAGAGCCAGGAGCCAGGGCTTTGGTCCATAGGCCTCAGCAGCTCAGAGGAACCTGGGCAGTCCAGCTCTGGGGCCCAACAGGCATGCCCACCTGGTGCAGATGACGTCCTCGTGCAGGCTGCCCTGACAGCGCTGGCACTGGGTCCAGAGGCGCGAGAAGCGCTCCTCCAGGGCGTTCAGGTGGGATACCTGGGGATGGAAGGGCTGAGTGGGCAGCCCTGCGCACCCCCAGCTGCCCCTCCCCGCCTCCCCTGATCCCTCACCTCCTTCTGATACAGCTCCGACCCCCGGGCTTCGCAGAACTTGCACACGGCTCCTGGGGTGGGGGAGGGGGGCAGGTCAGCCTGGGCCGCCCCACCCCTGCCCCTTCCCCGCCCGCTGCCCATCCCGGCTTCTGAAAGTCCCCATCGATGAGAGAACAAGGGAGCAAGTGTGTGGAGAAAACTCCCTGGGGAACTCCCAGGGCGGGGGGCCCAGGACCCTCGTGGGGCTGCCTGCAGACAGGAGCCCCCCACCCAGGGGCCGGGGCCTATCCAGGTAGCCATGCCAGCTCATGGGGCCGGTGCCGGGGACCTTGGGTGACGGCAGAGGTGGGAGGGCCGGGGGAATGGGGCTGGGGTCAGGGACGGTGCTCACCCTGGTGGCTGAGGACAGTGCGGCAGCCAATGCAGCAGTTTTGGCGTTTGGCGAAGGCCAGGAGGCCGCCCACCTTGCCCGTGAGTACTGTCTTGCAGCGCGTGTGGTCCCCGCCTGCATGTGAAGGCAGGCGGTGGGCCCAGTGCCCTCCCCCGCCCCCCACCCCGGTAACCCCGCCTGCCCCGGCTGCCCCCAACCCGTACGCAGCAGCACGGCCTCGGCTCGGCCCTCGCCCAGGATGGGCTCGAAGATGCGCAGGAGAGGCTTGGCGAGCTGCTGCTCAAGGTAGTATTGCGTGTCGATGGGCAGGCTGTGCTCCAGCACGAAGAGGGGGTCCTGCGGGCAGAGGCGCTGGGATGGTCTCACCAGGGGGGCAGAGTGGAGGGGCCACAGCTACACACACAGGGGTCCGGGAAGGGATGAGGGGCTGCGGTCCCTGCCAGGCAGCAGGGCAGGGGCTGTGGTCAACAGCGGGCAGCCAGGGTGAAGGGCACCGGGAGCTGCCGTGCGTCTTCCAGTCATGAGTGGGGGCAATGGTGGGGGGCAGTCACTGGGCCCAGACTGGGATGGGGTCAGAGGTCATGGGCGTCCCTGGCCACGGGCCCTGTGATCCATGCTAGGGTCCACAGGTAGGAGCCCTCAGGTCACCAGGGAAGGGTCAGAGTTCACGGTGGGGACAGGAGATGTGAAGGTGGATGTGAGCTGGAGCTGAAGGTTGGAAGCCAAGATAAGAGGTAGCAGGACAGGAACTAGGGACTGACAAAGGGATTGGGGGGGAGGTGTCACAGGTCACTGGACATCCAGGTAGGACGGGGGAGGGTATGAATCCAAGAGAATCACAAGTTGAAGATCCAGGATCGAGGAGTCAGTAAGAGACACAGAAACAGCCGGTGCTCTGTGCAGCGAGGCTAGGCCCCCTTCTGCACGACGGAGCCAGGAGGGGTCAGAATAAGGGGGGTGGGGTGGAGGGCCTCTCCAGAGGGTACCGGGAGGCCCGGAGCAAAGCATGGTGGAGCCAACTCCCCGGGGTGTGCTGCGGGGCGGTTCTCAAGGCCCCGTGGGGCCTGCGGAGAGAAACACCCTCCCCGCCAGGCCTGGAAAGCAGAAGTGAGAGCAGAGGAGAGCGGGGTGGGAGCGGGCAGCCCAGGTGGGCCTGACCTCGGACTTCATGTAGGCGGCCACGCCCTTGGCGGCACTGATGATCACGTAGGGGACACGGTCACCCAGGCTGGGCGCACTCCCGGGGTCCCGCTTCCTCATCCTGCGGGGAGACCGGGGCAGCAGGCTGGGTGAGGGCAGGCGGGACGGTGGGGGCAGGCTGGGGGGTAGGAAGTGGTGGGCCCAGCTGGCAGGAGAGGCTATTTCTGGCCGGTCCCGCCCCCTCCCGCGCTGGGCTGACCTCTCAGCCAGCTCCACATGGGCCTGCTTGCCCGCGTAGTCTGCGGCTGCGCGGGTCAGCTCCTTGGTGATGACCAGCTGTGAGATGTCGATGCGGTTACACAGCAGGTCGGAGATGACGTCCTGCGCATGCGCCACGGCGCCCGCGGGGTCTCTGCAGGGGGGCGGGCGGATGGACGGGCGTCACCAGGGCGTCACCAGTGGCTGTGGCCGCCCGGCTGGCACCTCCACTGCCCCGAGGCTGGGGGACCAGGATGCGCTCCAGGGACGGGGAGGGGCCCTGCCCGGCCGCAGGCTGCCAAGGGGCAGAGGCAGGGCCGGAACCCA